GGCAATGGAAAACATCGTGAGGAAACATGCACATTTTCAAAATAAAAATAATAAAAAGTATTGCTCAGATGCGTGACGTCTGCCAATCGGCACTATTAAAGCTTCATCTTATGCAGAACTCGTGGGCTAGCCACAACTCATGAGCTTGAGAAAACCCGACTATTATTCATACTTTAATAAGGAGGAAAAAATTCTAGGTAACGAAAATTAGTGTTCACAACATTCTTAATTTTTTTGGTACCTAATAATTTTATAACTGTTTTGATAGGAGTATGATGGCTGCGTTGCACAACTGATCAGATATTGGCTTGCACACCGGTAAATGATTTGATTTTTTTTATTATTAGAGTACCAGATCTCAGTATACGACAGGTTTCCCGCATTTTCCTGACGATGGGTTATAGGGGCCGTGGCTGGGTCCCCTACTGAGGAAATCCACACTAGGCCACGGCCGAGAGGGCCACTGAATATCCCCCACAGCGTAGCTAAGAGCCCACACTGGGCTGCTCCGAGTGACCCCATCGTTGCGGCCACTTTGGATACGATGGCGGTGTGGGGGACAGACGCGGGTTGCGGCGGAATGACAACCGAGGTAGAGTCGCCGGGGAAGAGAAGTATTGGTACTGCGTTTCGTCACTGAGCATATCCTCCGTGACTCGGCGGGGCTGCACCGCCGATGCAGCAGGGGTGGGAACGCGGCGGGAGAGGGGTGTCGGTATTGAGATCTCCACCCTCCCTTCCCTTCGCGGTGGAAGCGCCGCTGGATCTCGGGGCTTGCTTGACAGCACACAGACACTCTCATTCCTGGCTTTCATGGTATCTAAACACCGGATTAGAGGTACTCTCGTTTCCCGTACAAAAGAGGCTAAGTAAGAAGGCGTGACTTATGTTCTAGCGCGCCTTACCTGGACGTGAGAGGATTGCTCCCCGCTGTTGAGGCGGCTTGCGCTGGGCTATGGAGGTATGTGAAGGCAATCCTAATAAGCGTCATAATATATTGACAAAACTCGTGAACCTCCTTAGTCTTGTACGTGCAAGGACTTTTCATTTATCTTTCATAACATCGCTTCTCATATATAAAACATATTATTCTCAACAATATGTTTTTAAATGCCACTTATGCTTCACAAACATGAAATCACTGGTAAAAAATAGCTCAGGCTCATTGGAATTACAAATTTTGGTCCCCTGCGAGAATCGAACACATAGCTCGGCGTGTGATACCAGTTACCGAGGCGACCGCATATATAACTAAGGTATCTCTGTGGTCGATTACAGGTGGTGGTCTTCGGCGAAACCAGAAAAATTGCAAGCAATTCAAACCCGAGGCCGCAGTCAGTCGATACTCTGGCTATTATTGCCATTCTTTATTTACTTATAGGAAAGCTGCTGAAGGCTTACGTTATCCGTCGATCAGCAGTTAACTATCGAACACGACATCCGTTATGGATAGTTTACAGGTCGCTGCCCGACATTTTATGGATAGTTAAAATAAAATATCACAAAGAAGAGCCATAGAGCGGAGAAGGGAAAATAATCCCTGCTGTAGGACTTCGGGGGCATTAATCGGCCACTTACGCGGGTTCGATGACACCGCACGTGACGTCATAAAGTGCGTTAAGTAAACACGAACGGTTTCTAATTCGGTAAAGCTCCGACCACACATGGTGACATGATCCAAAAGCGTCCGATTTCGGTCCGAAACTAATGGACACCAGATTGCTTCGAGACTGTTCCCGATCGAATAGATACTGATTTTATATTTAGGTAGAGACTAATTTATGCTATATTTAAATTTGTGCTGAAAGTCACTTGTGTGTGTGTGTTTTTTTTTATGTGAGAAAGTGGCAAACAAGCTGGCAGTTCACCTCGTGTTAAGTGATAACCGCCCATGAACATTTGCAACTCCCGTAGGGTTGCAGATTCGTTGCCGCCTTTTAATAAAGTGGGCCGCGGCTACCTCACTCACCAGAAGAAACAGAAGTGTAACACTTCTACTTGACGCTGGTCTTCTGTGAGGGCATGGTACCCGGACGGACCTGCCCATTCGTGCAACAGCGAACACTGTTGCGTGGCCCTATCACAACATTGTTCTAAGTAAATTGTAAGTTTCTGGACGCACCTCCGGAAGACGTGGGTTCGATTCTCGCAGAGGCTATTCGTCCATTTTCTCCAATTTTAAACGTTTGACACATCCTTGCACATTATATTATATTCTTAAAAAATGTAATCATGTGAATTCCACCAATCCGCAGTTGGCCGCGTGTTGAATTATGCTCTTTTATCCTCTGTACAGATAACGCTTTTTTTATGGGAAAAAAGCAGCAAACGAGCAGGAGGCTCATCTGATGGTAAGTGATCACCGCCGCCCATGGACATCTGCAACACCCGAGGGCTTACAAATGCGGTGCCGGCCTATTAATTTTGAAGGTTCCCAGGTCGTAACGGTTCGGAATGACCGCCGGCGGCAGCTGGTTCCACAGAGTGGTTGTGCGAGGCAGGAAATGCCTTGAGAATTGCGCTGTTGTGAAACGCTGGACATCGAGGTGGTGTGGATGAAATTTGCCTTTGCCGTAGGACCCTTAGGGTATTACTTAACTTTTATTTTTACACATATCTCAGTCACACGACTAACTCGGTAGACTAAGGTAAAGCACCCTAAAATAAACATTAAACTAAATATATTTGATACCGGCATTAGTGTGATTTTTTAAATTTATTTTCTAATTATGTAGTTTCATAATGGCTGTATTGTCTCAGATACACAAGCGCTTGAAATAATAAGTTCTACATTTAAACCTGCTGAAATTTGATACGATAGTAACTCATTTCAGCGAGTGTAGAATTTAGAATTTTTTCTTAGAAGTTGAAATAAAATTTGACGAGCCAATTAGCGTAGTGGAAAGTAAACTAACTCTTTCGCCATAGGGTGTGGGTTTGATCCCCACTACTGGAAAAATATTGTGCGATGAACTTAGCGATTAACAATTTTCAATTTGCGACCACCAGTGGTGATTATATAACTATATTATGCATTTATTTACAAAAAAGTTTCTTATGTATGTTGGCATTAATCTAGCACCCATAGTAAAAGCTTTGCTAGATTAGGACTAGAAAACGTTGTGTAAAAATATAATACCCTGAAACATTTATTTATTTATTGGTATTATTTAATAATCGAGTCGATATAATATATTAGAAAAAATTATTAATTTCACGACTAATTAACTGGTAATCGAATAACACAACTTGAATAGGAAACCCGTTATTCGAGTCGCGTTTAAGAATCGATTAGTCTTGTCGCTAAAAGACAAAACGGCCGGCATTAACCCGCAGTTTTTACCTCCATTGCCTATTAACCTTTACGGAGATGGGTGGCGAAAGCGATTAGTCCCCGTCTACGTACCGAGAGCCTCTAGTGGTGCCTTAATCACTCTGACAAGACAAAGACAACGGCCAAGCCAGTTATTGGCGGGGAATTAATTAAGCGCGCGTAGATCGAAATGTGTTAACGATTATAGCATCTGTGTAACTGCTATGGCCTTTCGAGCGTTATAATTATTTAGATAATGAGACAATCGAAATGGATTTGTTATCTGTGTGTAGAGAGAGACGTATTTACGTAGAGTGATTAGATAGTGTGTCTGTCTCTCTCTCACCAAAGTTTGAAGGTTCAATCTCCACCACTAGAAAATATTGCTTGGTGAACATTGCATGAGAACATGATTTTTATTAATTTACAGGAGATAAGTATTTATTATAGTTTTGATTGATTTATTACATTTTTGAATGATTATTGAATTATTACATTTGTTTTGTAAAAATTATGTCCTGCATATTTAAAATGTCTTTATTAATGGTGTCAATCTCTGATTTGCATTTATTAGTTCCTAGATGACTAATGTACAAAAAAAAAATTACCAGTTTCAACGAAATTTATCCACCAGGTAGAATTTTAAGACTGAGAATGGCGTATTCTCATTAGAGCAATGTTATTTGGCAAAAAATATTACCGTGTTAGATTCATTCAAAGGCCTTTTTATGTTCTTCAACTATTTCATCATGAAAACAAAACGTACGTAGTATACTTGAGCAACCTGAGTTGAAATCCCAATGGTGCTGCCATACGAGAACTTTAAATTATCACGTGTTAAACAGTAAAGATAGATATCGCGAGGAAACCTGTTTATTTTCTGAGCATTAATAATAAAAAAATATGAGCAAGATGTGTGAAGTCTGCAACTACAATGAGGTGGCTTTTCATACTATGACACACTACCCTCTCTACGATGACGTGATATATCGGTTTACTTTGGAAATAAACACGTTATTTTATAATACTTGTCTGGAAAATTCCGTATCACTTTTGAGTACTGCCTCCGATCGTTATCGTGAAAAGTGAACTTATTTCTGCGCCAGGGTGTGATTTCGATTCCTACTACTTATCTAGTGGTTTATATTATGAATACTTTTAAATATTCTGCGATGAACATAATGTTTCTTCCGTGAGTGGTTGTTTTTATATCGGGTGTAAATTTTTCAGTTCGTACCCATAATAGATTAGATAATTTAGTGTAAAAATGTTGTTCAAATGTATAGAAATATGTCGGTAACATAATAATACATTTTAGAATTTGTTTGTGATGATTACAAGACTGTCAATCAACTGGTATGCTCATATACATATGACGATTGCTGAATTAATGATACAAACGTGTTATAACATTGCCTCAACGCCTGTTAAACGTTATTTGAAATACAGAAAATCTGTATTCAAAGTTTCAATCATTAGACATGAAACTGTTGACCCACATACTACTCTACGTTTACCAGGAAACCGAAACATGTGCTCCTTATACGTTAGTCGATTTAAATACTTTGTAACATGATAAATGACTCATAGAACGCTGCAGGACGATTGTGTTATATGCGCAAGTACATTTCAATTAAATTGGACTGCATAATAAAATTCTATGAATGATTCATCTTCATCATCATCATGATTTCAGCTTGTTTGAGTCCACTGCTGGAGATAAGTCTCCCCGACAGACTGCCACGAAGCACGATTCTGAGCCCCCTGATCATGATGAAAGTCAAAAAATGAATAATTAATTTATTAAATATAAAGAAAAATGAAAATTCTAATTTTTATGTGTAAAATGTGTAAAATTTTGACATATTCATATTTAAAAAAAAAGAAGAGATTTAACTGTGGTAGAGGCACGCAACAGTCTTCGCTGTTGCACGAATGGGTAGGTCCATTAGGAAAGTACCACGATCTCGCGGAAGACCGGCTTGGAGTGGAAGTGTTATGCTTCTGCGTTTCGTCTGTTGAGTGGGATAGCCGGGGCCCACTTTGTTGAAAGGTGGCAATGCATCTGCAACCTATTTACAACACCCGTAGGGTTACAGGTCGTGGTACTTCCCCGGATTTCCCCGTTGTACTTTCTTGGATTTCCCCGTGGTACTTTTCCAGATTTCCCCGTGGTACTTTCTCGGATTTCCCCGTGGTACTTTCCCGGATTTCCCCGTGGTACTTTCCCCCATTCGTGCAATTATCACTTAGCCAGCTCGATTGCAATTTTATTACATAAAAAAGAGCCATGCTGAGAGCGTGCTGGCCTATATAAAATCAGGTGAACTGCCAGCTCGATTTCCCTTTTATTACATAAAAAAGAGCCGAGGTCGTGCTGACCCATATAAACAACAGCAGAAGCTATGAAGCAGTTCAAAAATTGAACTGAAAGAGGCATAAATTCAATATACAATTGCGTTTACGGCTGTTAACCTTAAAGTGGGTTAATAACCGACACCCTAAAGGGGGAATTAATTACCGTTGTAACATAAAGCGAGTACACAATTCGAACTGCGGCCGCACAAAGAAATTGGCCAAAACCGGAAGGGAAGCGAATGGGAGTCGCCTTGGCGGCGCGTCTGGACTATGTATAGGCAATCTGTTCGACCTCCGGCCGACTTATTTTATTAGCAAACGCCCACATTTCCACATATGAGGCTATTAAGACGCCCATATACAGAACAAACACTGATTACCAGCTATTTCTGTAGTCGATGTGGAGCGGTTGCCGTGGGGCAAGCCTTTAACAAAGTCTCTTAACAACTATTTTATGGTGGGCCGTTTACGACTCTGTCTCGGCGTCAATGTCTCGGCGTTTCGCCCTTCTTTTTTTGTCCCGTTCACTAATTTCATCGTAGAGCCTTCGCGGTTAAGTTGTTTGGTCTAATGGGAAGATAATAAAGGTCTTTTATTTTTAAGCGCCCATACTTATTGACGAGGACATTAAATTCACTACTCGAATTAAAGACGCTTTGATATATTTATTCGGGGACTTTAGATAATTCCAATAATAAATGATGGGAATTTGAACTTTTGTCAATTTATTTCATTTAAAAGTGTTCTTCAGCCCTTTTAAGAAATATTGAATACGACACACTTTTACGAACGAAGTAAAATTGGATATTTTACGCTAGAAATACCCTATTTGCGAATGTTTCAAAACAAGTTCTACACATTTTTCTAACGACAGCGAAAATGCGTTCTGTCAGAAACAGAAAAAGTATTTTAAAGTAGATATATAACACGCACTGCATCCACGATCCTCTCTTATATCCTATTACCTTGGTAACACAAGCAACACCTCTAGTAAACGTGTTTTCTGCACAGTATCACTTAGTATCAGTTATTCCAGCCAGGACACTTTACAGACTTTTAATTATAACTCGCTCTCATCGAGAACATTTTTCTGTTTCCCTTCCGTTCCCATCCTACGGGCTGTGATCCCATTCTACATGTTGCACTACACTTAACACACCCTGGATATATCATCATCATCAATTCAGCCTATTTTAGTCTATATCTGGACTACTGGGAGGCAGTAGTCCATGGAGATTGATGAAGCACGAACCTAAGCCACCTGCACCAATCAAATTCCCGCACATTTGCGTCCTTATGATGAACTTTATATAATTAGATACATTAGCGTACAGCCACACTAGAGCAAATGGTCGAAATATTTTGTGTCTCATCAATGGTCGAAATATCTTCTTAACAGTAACACCGTCAGCAAAACGGTCACTTCAAAGTTAATTTTCAGTAACAAGGTATACCCTTGTTACTGAAAATAATGGTTGTACTTACGCGAATAGTGCACGTGGCTTAAAATACTGTATTACAGATTTTATAGCATTCCATATTGCTTTAAAATTGTCGACAATTCTAAATTTCCAATAGCAATGGCGATATCCCTCGTTCGAATTATCGTTTCAAAACGATACTTGAAATTGCTCCTATGCTGTAAAGGAAATAACAATAGATGCGCCAAGCATTGCTTAAAATGCGAAAAAACAATGTAGATAAATTACTTTGTGATTTTCGTCGGTGTAACAAGAATTCAAAGTCAAAACTACTTTATTCAATATAAGCTTAATTTAAGCTCTTATTGAGCCAGACTACAGAAGAACCGGCAAGAAACTGTGCGGTCTTGTTGTCTCCTTTTTTAATGATCCACAAACTTATTAAAGTATAAAATCAATTGATGACCCAATTATACTCAAATCATTTTGTTTACCAATATGGCGATGAGTCGCCTTTTGGGAAAAACGGGTAGAATAAGTAAAATTATGGCCATATTCAAAAGTTTTGTTCAAAATTTGTGCTTAAAGTATCAATTTATATATATATATATTTAAATTGGTAGTAGAGTGGAGAGGAACAGTTTGAAAGCGTCAGTTCTGCCATCCGATTATAAGGCAAGATAAGCCCATTATGGTATTTTCATTACCGAAACACATTGATTAAGAGCACTATTCCAAATCTATTCCAAAACTCTGTTTAAAGTATGTACTATTTATTAGTTTAATTATTAAATTCATTGTGAAATACAATTTAAGAAACAGAAACTCCACATCCATCGGCGAGTGGTAAACGAGCAGAGAATACAAACGGGTATTCCCCACGTGGTTTATGGTACTTTTATTACCGAAACGGTGTGTACGCGGCATTGACCCTTGCGGGTGCGCGTTGTAAATCTTCGGCCCGCTTTGTGACGGCGTCTTGTCATTCCGCTCTGGATCTCGGTGCGGCACAAAGTGGGCCACTTTGTGCCGGCCCCTCGCCGTGCGCATGCCAAATAAGACGCCGCCGTAACCCCGCGTAGCCGTCCAGCGGTCGAACAACGCCGGCCCGCTAGATAAAGAAAACGCGACAAAGGAATGCCCGCAATCGAAATTCCAGGTACATCGTTTGAGTATCGCGTCCGACGGCTATCATCGTTCCTTTTACGAAGCGTTTCTTTGCATCGATGACTCCGTGGCGCAGTCGCCAGGGTATCGGCTTCAGAGTCGGGGGTCGTGGGTTTGATCCCCACACGGGACAACTATTAGTGTGACCCACAAATAGTTGTTCCGCATCTGGGTGTTTGTCCGCGTGAAATTTATTTTCGTACAAACATCCTTACAACACAGGATAATGTTATCCCAAAATAAGGGAAATAATATATATATAAAAGTTTTTAATAATTACAAAAGAAAAAAAGTTGTTTTGGGTTTTTATTTCCAAGGGAGGTTGACGTCAGTCAGGTGGGCGGTCGTAAAAAACCGAACTGATTAACAACGTAATTGATTTAGTATCAATTCCATACTGATGGTAAAACGACAGGTAAAAGATATTTCTTTACACCAATCGCTAACTTTTAATAAAGTGGCCCTGCGGTTAACTCTCTGCCCATACAAAATGCCAAACTTTTTCTTCAAACCGTCTTCTGAGAGACGGTAATGTCTGTTAGGCCGGGCTTCTTGATGCGACAGGGATAGTCGCCGCACGGTTCTACCTCTGGACGTACTTTTGAGAACGCAAACTAGAAAAACAAATTATGATTCCAGCATAACTGAACAACTAGGTCTCACAGCATTTAAAGATTAAATATTCTTATCTATTCTGTTTTTAATCGTGTTCCACTGTGCGTCGCAATGTCCAGTCCAATAATACAAGTCTAACAATATTTGGAGTTTACAATTATCGAGGCGGAACTTGTGCCAGTACTTTTTGTTTTTTTCCGTTTGATGTTAATCAAACGCCGGCATCTAGAAACATCTACGGGCCTTTGTTCCATTATGCCCGTGATTCGGACAAAGGGGGCTCTATTAAAATCCACTGCCAATAGCAAAAAAAAAAAACGGTGTTACGCAACCCGTGATAAGGTACCGTTAGCAGCGAAGCTGCGGTAACCGAAGGCATGACGATTGCACGTCGTTAAGAGCTGTTCACACGACGCCTGTGCCTGAATTTGCGTGGATGAAAATTTGTATTTATTTATTTAAATTTGAAAATATTTTATAATTTAATTTTAGTTAGTTTTATTATTGCACCTGCCTAAAGATCTCACCACACCATTGGTTGACTCGCAGAGAATGCCTAAAGGTATTAAGTCCGCCTATTGTGTTCCGTGTTTAAGGAAAAGTGAAAACGTGTAAAAGACTAAATAAATAAATAAATCCATCTAGGCCCAGTTCTGTGCGAAAAGCTTACATAAAAAATTTATTCAGTGAACTCATCGTAATGTTTTACAGGTTCAATGGACGCATGCTCTCTCATTATTTTAAGTTAAGTTTATCAAAACATTCATTCTCGAATCTCAAACAAGTCTGAATTGATTGAAGTAAATATATTGTGTTATTTAGTTGCTAATGAAAACAAAACATTTGTTTTGCAAAATACAATTTTCCAGCTGCGAGGTCTGCTGAATGCATTTGTTTGTATATTTCTAATTAACATTCATGAATATACCGTCCCAAACCTATGAGTACAGAATTATCCTACAGAATGTGATTATATATTTATTATTATAAGACACATATACTGAATTTCTTAAGCGGCTCTACTTTACCTTACATTTGAATAACACAGGGTAATAAATAGTCCCTTGAAAAGGCCGTTTAATTCACGAAAAGATCAAAGAATTTTTAGTAATAATAAACGTTAATGTATTTCAAAATTTCTAATTTCCCAAGAAAATATGTTCAGTGATATATTAGAGTAGAATAGTTTCAAAAGCATATTTAGTAAAATCTCTTCAAATTAGGTATAAAATAAATCACACCACACACATACAGCAGATAGATATGCAAATGTCATTCATATTTCAGCTTTTGAAAAGATCTACCTACATGTGTTTATATTTGTTTTACCTTAATATGTGCTATAGAGAATGATACAATAACAGAGTATCGATAAGGTATATATCTAATTTATAACAAAGTTATAATCATCATAGGGCGAGGATTAAGGCAAAAAAGTAAAAGAAAGACTTAAACGATACATGTTACAATAAAACTTAAATTTAAAATAATGGAATAAAAAATTTAAATTGAAAACTTAGAATGCACTTTCACACTTGGAGTAGTAAAAGTAAGTAAAATAAAGTAACAGCCTATACATATCCCACTCCTGGGCAAAGGCCTCGTCTTTTTTACAGAGTGTATCAGGGCATAGTCCACCACGCGGCCCCACTGCGGATTGGCGAACTTCACATATCTTCAAATATTGTTTTTTGTAATTTCGAAAATATGTAGGTTTCCTCGCGAAGTTTTCCTTCACCGTTGAGCACGTGATAAAGTAATAAAACAGTATATGAGGCATATTATAGGTGTCAAGTTTTGTAGTATATTTCTAATCAGCCGCATCGTCTGAACAGGCCTTAATGCCTCGTCGGTCCGAATGGGACGCCGCAACAATGCACTCTGACGCGCACAGTTACACGAGAAAAATGAATGTCAACGCAGCGCGACCTTAGAGCGGCCGCCGCTGTTTGTGCGATGGCGAGTTTTAGATACGTCAGTGGGAGCGACAGAACGATTCTAAATAGATATGCAAGAATTGGAATTAGGAATATGAAGAAAGAGGATATCAAGGAATTAACTGACAACTAATCTAGGTGTAGTGATTACCACTACGCCAGCGCATGTTTTAGATACGTCAATAGAAGCGGTCGATTATTTATTTGAGTCGCCGGAAGACAGACGATTCGTGAAGGATAGACAAGAATTAGAATTAGGAATATGAAGGGATTCACTCACTACTGTAATTCTAGATTGGTTTGGGAATCGCTATTGTGCCATCGCACAGATCAAGGCATTGCCAGCTCATACTGCACGCCGAAAGCCAAAATGTTCCTGGAATAATAATTTGTTTTATTCGTCTTCTTTAAATAGCTGCTCTGAGTCTGGGTGTTCTCTATGTCCCGCCACAACGGAAAAGAAAAACATACCAGAGAGAGAGTGGATGATGCTGACGTAATGATAATAATGATCTTTATTTTCATTTACAATTCAATATTAGAATAAACGCAAGTATCTGATACGTAAAACCTTTGAACAAAACTTTTTATCAACATTGCATTTGTCTCAGTATCGTGACTAAATCGATAATCAAACGGATAGATAAGAATATTGAGTTTCACAGAAATAAGAGGGAAAAATATGAAGCCTGCCGATTTGCAAAGCTCTTTGTCTAGAGTCGGGGCGTGAAGCGTTGGAATGATCTGTTACTTCAATTTACAGAGGCATTTGTCCCCGGGGAAGTCCCGTTAGGCCGCATCACGACGCCAGGGTGCGGCACAACTTTTTTCTTAGTCTGTAGGATAAGGCGTATGTCCTTCGCTCAATATCTTTCTCTTTATATCACCAGTTACATTTTCATCGAAGTCTTCTTCTTTAATATTGGAAGCATGACACATGAAAATGAAACTGCTCATATTCATAATTATGTACTATAATCTTACCATACAAACACCTGTATAATGCTGCCAAGAAAGTTCCAGGTTTGATTTATGATTAATATTCGTCATAAGTCAAACTAAATTATTAAAATATACAAAATAAACTATTACATTATACTGAAATACATTCACTCCCATTTAAAGGTGTAGATGACTGATTTAAAATAGTCGTTTTTAGGCACGCATTAAGATTAAAGCCTCAGTGGCGCAGGTTCGTGTGTTCGATCCTCGATCTTTGTTCCGAAGTTGAAGTTTGTTCTAAAGGATGGCTTTTTTTTTTTTTTTTTTTTATGCGAAAAGTTGTCAAACGAGCAGACGGTTCACCTGATGTTAAGTGAATACCGCCGCCCATGGACATCTGCTACACTCGAGGGTTACAGATGCGTTGACAACCTTTTGAAAATTGGGCTCCGGCTACCTCACTCACCAGACGAAACGCGAAAGTATTTGTCATACTTCCACTTTACGCCGGTCTTCTGTGAGGTCGTGGTACTTACCCGGACGGGCCTGCCCATTCGTGCAACAGCCGAGGCTGCTGCGTGGCCCTACCACCGTTATGCTGATGTCAGGTAGGCGGCCGGTCATAAAATATAGATGATTAGCTAGAGCTAAGCCCATGAACAACATGATTAACATGTTTTGATGACAGTGATGAGAAATAGAAAAGAAGAGAGGTACAATTTAGAGCTAGATATTGTATTGTTTAATAAAACATGATACAGATATTGTCTGCATTCCAGACTACATAAAACCACAATCGACAAACGTAATCCTGGGACATATATCCTAGATTATACAGCTTTAAAAGCTCTTATATATTTTATTTACATTTTTATAGCAATTCCCATTGTTTTTAAAGAATAATTTAAGTTTGCCGTGTCTATAACATTCGAAGAGCTGCCAAATGCGAGCTCGGCATAGATTCGTACACGCACAAATGCGTAGCAACAATGGCGCGACCCACATGCGACGGAGCACGGCCAGGTTGATAAACCCGGGATTCGACCTTAGGAACAGCATATGGCGAAACGCGGCCCGTTTGATAAATTCGGCGCTGTCCGTTGCGCAATATGTAATACGGCCCTCGCTCGTTTGGCGTTCGGTTTCTTTAACAAGCGATGGGTAAACAAATCGTTTGTATTTAAGTTTTGGTAAAGTTATACATGTACTTTAATTTAGGACGCGTTTAGGAGGTCTAGATTACATCGTCATTGGAAAATACTTTAAATTTTGTCAACTTAAATAACATTGGAAAGGCCATTTGATAGCTTATTAGTTCACTTCTACGATCAGTGTTTCAGAAACCGCAAGTCTGGGTTTCGATGTTTGTATGGCACCTCTACAGCTATT